GCTATTACAAAACTTTGCCAATTCCTGTCCAAGTGTCCAATTGTACTTTTCTACCATCCCATCGGACTGTGGGTGGAGTGGCGTTGTCCTGGTCTTTCGTATGTCAAACAACTTGCAACATTCATGGAACACACCTGATTCAAAGTTACGACCTTGATACGAATGCAGTTCATATGACATACCAAATCTGAAGAAGAAATCACTTATAGTCGAGGCTACAGTTGTAGCTTCCTGATTTGGTATTGCATATGCCTCAGGCCACTTGGTGAAATAATCCATCACCACACAAATGTACCTGTTTCCAGCACGAGTTTGGGGCAAAGGACCAGCAATGTCAATGGCTACTCTTTCCATTGGTGCACCAACTTGATATAACTTCATCGGAGCACGTCCCTTATGGTTGGGTCCCCTTTTAGCACAACATCTACTGCATGTCCTGCACCATTCTACCATATCTTGCCTCATACCTATCCAGTAAAATCTCTGTCATAGGTGACACAATGTCTACTTAACTCCAACATGTCCTCCTGTTAAAGTATCATGGGATTGACGCAGCACAACTTCTCGTACCTTTCTCGGTATAACTGTTTGCCAGGTTGCCACTTTCCCATCTCTGGACAAGAATACCATCTTCAAGCTTCAACTGGTTCCATTGTGCCCAATAGCTCTTTGTCACAGGGCTTAAGCTAGACACCTTCTCCCAAGCAGGGTGCAAAACACTTGCTTGTAGAAAATCAATTATTGGCTTCAAATCTTAGTCTTTCTCCTGCTCTGCTTTAATATCTATACCTCGTTACACTTCACCATCATCAACTCCTTCAGTCACTTTGAATTCAACTTGATGGCACCTGGTTAGTCCAACCTCTCTTTTAACACTTACCGGAATTTGGCCTTCGTTGTTCCCAAACGTCATTTTATCAAAATTAATTAACACTTCCTCGGTAGTAAATAGTCCAACCCTAATATGCATGGGTCTTCAATGTCAGCCAAGTATACTTCGTGTCTGTCTTTTATGCCCATGAGCTCAATAGTTACCCACAACCTTGCATAATATCCTCTCACACCTTAGAGCTTCTGTATGCTTTCTGGTACTCCTTTGTGATCTAGCATCTTGATACTCACAAGGGTTTGCTGAGATTCAGAATCTATGACAAAGTTGCACTTTTGGCCATCCAGCTTCCCTGTCACGTAGACACTATGTGTGTGCTTGGCATTTTACACCTAGCTATTGGGACTTTCACGATGGGGGTTGGTGGGTGACCCTCAGCGCCAACCATTATTGGTTTCCTTGAGGCTGACTTATTGGTAATATTCTTCTTACACTGGCTCTTCATATGTCCTTGCTCTCCAGAGTTCCAACAGCTTTTCTGGGTAGCAGCCTTTCCTGCCATGGCATCTTTCCTGTTTTGAAGTTGCCGGCATTGGGATTTCTTGTGCCTAGGTTTGTTACAGTGCCAGCAAAGTCCTACTTGTATTTTCAGTTGTGGACTGTCCAAGGCATATACAAACTGATCCTTCAGCAACAGCCTTGTGTGGCATACTTTCCATATCCTGTGCCAGCTCTTGCAAGCTCTCCCCTTTAGCACGGACTCTCGTCCTAAACCTAGCCCTGTAGACTTCGGACTGATTTTTAGTTCCATACCTGAGTTATAGAGCAGCTATCAGTTCTCTATAATTGTGCCTGTCGTCTGCTGGCAACTGTCCAAGTATTTTCAGTGGCTGTCTCTTCAAGCTCGTTGCCAGGGACACTACTTTCTGCTCGTCTGTCCATTCTTTTCTGCCAGGAGCTCAAATTGTGCTCTATATGCTTTCCATGGTGCCTTCCCATTGAATTATTTTGGCTTCATTCGTATCAGATCACCCCTATTGCTGAAGATATCTACATTAGGGTTTAGCTGCGGGGTCTGGAAGGGGCTTTCTGTTGTCTGAAGCTGATTAGGTCCATAGTTAATATATCCTCCATGTGTAAAGGATAGTAAATCGTCCTTTA